TCTCAGGCGTCCCCGTCGGCTCCCCCCCACACACACCACAGCCCTCCCTCTCCACCCCGTGAGCTGCCACCCACCTGTGGAGGGTCAGCCGAGGGTCCCACCTTCGAGAACCTCACTTCCTGGGAAGCTAGCCTTGCACACCTGGTCCTAGCTCTGGCCTCAACAACGTGATGTTAGCGCCAAACTACTCCGCGCATGGACCACAGTGATTGACTGCCAGTGGCACCTATCAGAAGCTTGCCCCACCTTGCCCTGTTAGCACAAAACCTTGAGCTCCTGAGACTATCAACAGTGATTGCAATGAAGTAAGTAGGAGCTGTATGCAGGCCCAAGTCTTGGCTGCTCCACTTCCAGTCCAGCTCCCTGCTAACATACCTCGGAAAGCGGCAGAGAGCAGCCCAGCTGTTCAGGGCCCTGCACCCACGTGGGGGAGCTGGAAGAAGCTTCCGGCCTGGCAGTTCCGGTCGTTTGGAGAGCAAGCCAGCAGATGGTTCTTCCTGTCTCTCCTTCGCTCTGAGTAGCTTTGCATTTCAAATAAATGGAAAAATGTTTTGTTGTTGTTGTTAAATAAGACATAGTGGCTAACACTGGGGCTAGGCACTATTGTGGCCCTGCTGTCCTGGGGCCGCAGCCACACAGCCGTGAGCAGCAGGGAGAGAATCCCTGGAGAGACCCCCGACCTTCGGCAGCAGGTGAGGGAGGCTGGCCCCCTGTTGTTGACCCCTCTCCCTCCCCAGTACTGTAGCTGCTGTAACAAAGCCTTCCCCCCTTCCCCCCTGCAAACCCATCCCTATGTGGTGACTTAAAGAACACAGAGGCGTCCATGGCTTGGAGGCCACAGTCCGACATGGTCTGATGGGGCTGGGGGCTCCAGGGCAGAGCTGCCCCTTGCAGCCCACAGTTCCCAGACCACGGCCCCTGCCATCAAGGTCAGCCCAGTGAGGCTCCCACGCCGTGTCTTCCTGCCTTTTGCAGGCCCCCAGCACAATGAGCACCCTATGGGTCTGGTGGTCCCACCTGGCGCTCTGCAGCCTTGGGAAGGTCCTGCCCACCACAGGTGAGGCCCACCCACCACAGGTGAGGCCCGCCCACCACAGGTGCCTACTTTTCTCTGTTGGGCAGGAAAGGGCAGGCCTGCACCTGGGCATGTAAGAGGGCCCTGGGCGCTGCTGGAGCCTTGAGTGTATCCCTAAGGCCCACTGGTCTCCGGGCCTCAGGCCTGCGAGGTGCCATGTTTGGGTTTTGAGTCCCTGTGCGTCCATGCCAGCCACAGCAATCCCAGACCCGGTCAGTGTGCCTCCCTCATCGCCCGTGGGCAGGAGACCGTGGCCAGTGTCCGGCGTCCCTCCCTAGGTAGCTGAGTTCAAGTGCACACACATGGGAGGGAGACTGGATTTGAAGTCAGCGGAACTGTCCTAAGCTCTGAAGGATTCAATGAAGGCTCTGGGGCAAGGTGGGGGTGGGGTAAGAAGCTGCCGGCCCTCAGCTTGCTCCCCACCCCCGCTCTTGGCTCCTCTGTGGGCAGTGACAGCCTCGTGCCAGGCCAGCAGACCAGCCCCTTCAAGCACAGGCTCCCTGTTCACATCCTACCTGTCCTGGCTGAGCCAAGCGAGCGCCTCCCCAGGCCAGGTCACATGCTGGGCTCATCTTGCAGAGCCTCCCAAGTGTTTCTTTGTTTAGGATCCACAAAAACCTCTTGGTGGCCGCTGTGGCCTTCCCACGACAGTCGAGGGAGGACCGTGCGGTCCAGAGAGAGAGCTGAGAGGCAGGGGCCGGGGGGCCGGGGGGGCGGGGGGGCAAAGAGGCCCAGGCAAGAGACGCAGCGGAGAGCAGGGGCTGGAGGAGGCACGGCAGCCGCAAGAAGAGCTGGGGAGGTGAGTTCAAATTCCGGTTTCTGGGGTCCCCAAGAGTGCCTGTGGTCTGAGAGAATGAAGGTTAGGGAGGAGCCTCTCTTGTCCATGCTTGTCCTGGCATGCGCGGGTATGGAGCCTGGGCACACAGGGCCATGGCCTGTCTTGGGATCCTCATGGTGAACCTATGGAAGAATGGCCAAGGTGGAGGCAGTAGGTTCCGTCCAGGTCCCCTCCTCTCACCCTCCTGTTGTCACCTGCTCCCGTGGGGTCCCCTCTGTCATCTCCCCAGCACACAGAGCCTCATGTTCTGCCTGTCCTTAGAGGTTCTGGCCGTGGTCAGCCCCTGCTTTTACGCAGCTCTGTGCCCTGTGCCCTGGCCCTGGGGCACGGGGAGGCCCTTGGAGACCAGCAGTCCCCATGCCTGGGCAGGTCTGGGGTCTGCCCTCCCACACCTTTGGTCTCTACCGAGCACAAGTGACATGACTTTGATCAAGGGCCTCTGGGACCTCGACTATAAAATGGAGTCACCACAACATCTTCAGCAGCCAAGGGCCTGGACATCAAAACCTCTTAAGAAAGATAAGACCACATGTTCAGCAAGCACGTAACTCAGAAGAGACCTTGGCAACGTTAGCCATCACTGCCTTGTCCTCACTTGATCTGTGAGAAATCCCCAGCTCAGAGAGGGCAGGTGACTCACCAAGGACGCACAGCAAAGGCAGGGCAGAGCTGAAGCTTCGGCCTGAGCCGTGCCCAACTGTGCCACGCAGGAGCTGGCTCCTAAAATTCTTGTTTGACCCTCGCTGAGCCCCTGCTTCTTTCCTGCGTGAACAAAAAGGCTGAGGGTAAGAGGCACTGACAAGCCGCCCAAGGTCACTCAGCCCTTCACTGGGAAGCTCGCCCACCTCCCACTCTTACTGTGCAGTGCAGGCTCCTTGATGCCCAGTCGGGGGGCTCAGGGGCTGCCAGAGCTAATCCCAGGCCCAGTGTGGCTCCAGGCAGCACCCAGCTCTTCCCACAGTACCCAGCTCAGTGTCTGCCATCCTGGAGGCTCCAGGGTGCCTGGGACAGGTGGCTGTGGCATCCCCGGCCCCCAGTGGCCCTCTGTCCTCCCGAGGATGCGGTCCCCCGGCAGGGAGGGAGTACAGCAGTCCATGTCCGGCAGGTGCTTGGCAGAGCCGAGCGCTGCTGCTCCTGCCTGCGCCTGGCTGATGGAGAGATTATTTCTAAGCCCTTCCCATTCCCTCCGCCTCCCCCCCACCTTGCAGGACCATGCTGGCCATCCCCTGGGACGTGGAGCACAGAGTCCGTCACCGAAGCAGGACAGCTGGCCCAGCTTCCTCCAGCCTGCACCCCAAACCCTCCCCTCTGGCAAGGACGGCAGCTCCTGGATGCTTGCACAAGCCCCAGCCCTCTTCCCCAGGGCTCTTCTGCAGCTGCTGGCGAGAGAGAGAGAGAGAGAGAGAGATGCAGAGTGAATGAACTTCTGGCTCCCGGAGGAAGCAAGAGAAGAAAGACGGCAAACTAACTGTCAGGGGCTGCCGTTGGATGGGGCTTCCTCCCTCTCTCCCCGACAAACCTGGTCCTTCCCTGAGCACCGAGACATGGGGTCCCCTTGCCCAGCAAAGAACTGGCTGGAGACAGGCTTCTGGAGACAAGATGGTAAGTTCAAGTTCAGGGGAAGAAGTTGCTGAGTGCTGCAGGGCCAGGGTTTGCAGGGTCGCCTGTCCTGTGCAGCGTTCTGGCCAAGGTGCCTTCCGGAGCGAGCAGCTTCCCCTAGCCCTGAAGGGAGCTGGTCTTGCTAGCAGTGTATGGGGGAGGGAAGGGGGAAGTGAGGGGGAGGGTGGCAGCAGAGGACAGAATTGGGTTTGTCTGGTGGATGTAGAAAGACAGGTATGGGGATTCTTGAAAAAGTCCCAGGGCTGGGCTTGGGTTTTGCTGTGTTACCTCAGAAAAGTCACTTTACCTCTCTGGGTCCTGGATTTTGCTTTTGGGAAACCAGGAATGTTGAGGCATGCCCTGCATTTCCGACTCCACTTCCCTGTGCAGGCTGCTCGGCTTCCTCCGAGCAGAGCCAAGTGGGCAGGGTGGCAGAGCCAAGTGGGCAGGGTGGCAGAGCTCAGTGGACGGGGGTGGGGGAGGTGTGGACACTGCTGCCCGCTCCTCAGTGTGCACTGGGCAAACTCCAGCTGGGCCCGGGGCTGAGAGGATCCTGCCCTCCCAGCAGCTGCCCTCCTAAGGGCTGTGCCCCAGCCAACGCGTGCCTGCAGGTTCCAGGCGCCTGCAGCTAGAGTGGAAGGCACGCTTGTGGGATCCCCAGGAGGTGGAAGCATTTACAGGTGATGTTTGAAACACATCAAACCACCGGGTCGAAAAGGCTTATCCTGTCGGGAGCCCCGGGGTCTGAAGTAGAAGCCGCACTAAGGGCCTCTGCCTTGAAACAGGTGGAGAGTGGGAGTCACTGGCTCAAGGTCACACAACAAGAATGGCTAGGTGGGCACCCAGTGGGCTGGCTCCCCAAGGATGCCACAGAGGTGGCCGCAGCTCTGGGAGACATACTCTGTACTAGGTGCTCAGACTCCCCTGTGGCCTGGGACCTAAGCCTTGTCAGCTGTCAGGCATTGGCAGACCCACGGGCTGGATACTCGGGCCTCCTCTGCCTCGGTTTCCGAAGCGGGGATGCAGATATGTACCTCATGACGTCACTGGCTGTGACTTTACACGGCACGTGTGCCCGGGCAAGTAGCTCTCTTTGTGAAAGTCATATGCCCTGCCCCAGGTACACACGTGGTGAAGGGCTCAGACCCCACGAGCCACCTGCATGGGCGCTTCCTGAGCTAGAGCCCATGCTCACCCAGTGCCCCCTGCAGGGCTGGTCTGAGTGTGGAAGCCGGCAGCCCAGGCCCTGCAGCTCCAGTTCCCGGGAGTCTTCACAGCAGGCACAGCTGGTTGCGCTGGCCAGAAGGTATTGCTCGGATGACCCTTCCTGGAAACACAGTGAGCACCCCAGATGCAAGGCGGGGGTGGGGCTGGGTGCTGTGTCGCCAGGACACCACCCAGGTTCACCCCCTCCGTTGTCTTGCTTTCTTTCTCTCTTTGCTGGTGTCAGCCACGTGAACCCACCGCTGCCTCGCCAAGTAGTCTAGGATGCCCCTGCTGACTGCACACAGGGACCTCCCTTGCCACCAACGCTCCTGCAGCCCGGTGAGCCAGCGCCTGTCCGGGCCCATGGAGACGCCGCCGCCGTCGAAGGGCCTCTACTACCAAAGGGCGCGCCGCGTGGGCGCCCAGGCCGGCTCACCGGCGGCGGACCTCAACAGAGAGATGCTGCTGAACGTGGGGGGCCGCAGGTACGTCCTGCCCTGGAGCACGGTGGACGCATTTCCGCGGAGCCGCCTGGGCAAGCTCCGGCTGTGCCGCAGCTATGCCGAGATCACGCAACTCTGCGACGACTACGACCAGAGCAGCCAGGAGTTCTTCTTCGACCGCAGCCCCAGCGCCTTCGGGGCCATCGCCAGCTTCCTGGCGGCCGGGAAGCTGGTGCTGCTGCGGGAGATGTGCGCGCTGTCCTTCCGCGAGGAGCTCAGCTACTGGGGCATCGACGAGGCCGGCCTGGAGCCCTGCTGCCTGCGCCAGCTGCTGCGGAGGCTGGAGGAGCGGGCCGAGCAGCGGCGGGAGGAGGCCCTGCACAGGGCTGAGGCCGCCCGCCCCGCCGCGCACGCCGCCGCCTCGCGCTGGGGTCGCCTCATGGACCCGCTGCGCGAGATGGTGGAGAACCCGCGCTCCGGGCTGCCGGGCAAGGTCTTCGCGTGCCTGTCCATCCTCTTCGTGGCCACCACAGCCGTCAGCCTGTGTGTCAGCACCATGCCCGACCTCAGGGCTGAGGAGGACAAGGTAAGTGGCTGCTGGGCACCCCGGGGATGAGGTAGGAGGGGTGGGAAATGTCTTCAGTTGCTAAAAGACATTCCTTCCCCACACCCCAGTGGGTGATATCCACTAGGGGTATATTCATTTGTAAACGATGCTGTTGTGTAGCGTGATAGGCAGCCCGCCCAGGAGGAGGAGAGAATGGCAAGGCTGGCCGTTCTCAACAAACTCAACCTGTGTTTCCAGGTCAACTACCTTGTGCCAAGAACTAGGCTAGGCCAAAAGCCCCTGCTAGCTTTCTTCCCCACACCCGCCCAAAGCTTTATTTGTTTATTTGATTGGCGGAAGGACAGAGACAGAAAGGCATCCTCCATCCACTGGTTCACTCCCTAAATGGTCACACAGCCAGATCGGTGCTAGAAACACCACTCCATCCTGGCTCCAACTAGGCTGTCCTCTGCTGCTTTCCCAGGCACATTAGCAGAGAGCTGGATTGAGAGTGGAACAGCCAGGCCGCAAACCCGCACACCCATACAGGCCAGTGATGCCCCAAACAGCAGCTGACACCACTGAGCCTCCACACTGGGCTCACAGACCCCCTGCTTCCCGGCACATCCATCTCACGGGCATCCCAGCTCCACTTCAGCTGAAGCAATGGGCACACAGCAGTGATGGGGCAAAGCTATTACACACATCCCCAGTCCCCCTGACATCCCCACGTCGAGTCTCTTTTCGGTCACCCTGCAGACAGTCTAAAAGAACGCTGGTGCCTGCTGAGAGACGTGACCGTTCCCAACCAGGGCAGGCCCCAGGCTCCATTGCTGAGCCTCACTGCCTGCTTCTCTATGAAGGCAAGAACATCAGTTTTCAAATTCAGATTTATTTTTTCATTTAAAAACACAGAATTCACAGAGAGATCTTCCATCTACTGATTCACTCCCCAAATGGCCGCAATGACCAGGCTGGGCCGGGCTGAAGCCAGGACTCAGGAGCTTCTTCCGGGTCTCCCACGTGGGTGCAGGGGCCCAAGTCATCCTCCACTGCTCTCCCATTGCATTAGCAGGAAGCTGGATTGGAAATGGATTAGCAGGCCTCAGACCAGCATCATAGCTTAACCTGCCACAACACAGTGTCAGCCCCAAGAGAAGAAAAACTTGAGACTTCAAAAACAAAAATGTGTGTTCCAAAAACAAAAGATATCTTGTCCGACTTGGGAACATCTTGTCCTAAGAGCAGTCAAAATCTTTGAGCTTCCGCAGCTCGCTTCCCTGGGAGGCTGGACCTGGCTGCAGCTGCGGGCATGTTTTCACGCTAGCACAGAAGCTGTGAGCTCAGCGCCTGCTGATTCACAGGAATGTGGCCACCAGGACTTCATGGGGCCAGGGCAGGATGCAGCAAGCAGCCTGGGGGACCCCTCCTCAAGGCGTGCCTCGGGCCCAGACTCCTGCTTCCCCAAAGCCTGTTCTGGAGACAGCAGAGAGCAGGCCAAGGTCTTGGCAAAGCCTGAAGCTTCGGCAGTCACCAAGACAGTGACCTAGCCCTGGCTGCACGGCAAAGCAGAGACTCAGACCAGAGACAGCACCAGCCTGCAAACCACAGGCTGGCCTCCTCCCGCGGAGGAGGGACCGGTGCCAGAGCACGCTGCCTGGGACAGTTTGTCAGCAGCCGGGGCGTCTGCTTTGCTGTTGCGAGCACAATGCAGAGGCTGGGAGACCGCAGTGTCCTCACATTCGCCTAATGAGCTGCTGTCCCCACTCACCGAGCTGGCTGCTTGTGCCCTGGTGCCCAGGGCCAGGGCAGGGGGCATGACGGCCACTGCTCAGGGGTCTCCTTGCCAGCGTGGCACGCCTCTGTCAGAAGTGGGGAGAGGGCTTTGCTGGGGGGAGGATGAGAGCTCGTGCCAAGAAGGCAGTTTGTGTTTCTCCTCTCTTGTTGGCCAAGTCCCTGGTAGTGAACTTGGCAGTCAGGATACAAGGTCTGGAGGAGGGGCTTTGTGAAGACGGGAAGGGCCAGGCCTGTGATCTGTACCCCTCCAGAGACCAAGTGGCCCTTAGGGGGCTGGCCTGTGACACCAGACTTCTTTCATTCTCGGGGTGGTGTATGCTGGTGCTACCCCTATCCTCCAGGTGGGGAAACTGAGGCGTGGGGAGATGTTGCCACTGATGTGGACAAAGAGCCAGGGGGAGGCGGGCACAGCTCAGCTGCCAGTTCGGTCCCCACATGCCTACAACAGCTGGTCAGGGCCAGGCTGAGCCAGGGGCTATCCGGGTCTCCCACGTGGGTGGCAGACGCCCAAGGAACTGAGCTATCCCCTGTTGCCTCCCAGCACACGAGTGAACAGGAAGCTAGAATCCAGAGCAGGGCCGGGACTTGAACCCAGGCACTTTCACTCATCGCTGTTTTATGCTCTCTGTCCTTGACACTTGCCCTGGGTGCCTGTCTGCTGCTGAGGCCGCCAGACTGTCCCGGAGAGCCTGGGAAACCACATAACCTGTACCTATTGAAATGGGGGTGTGATGGACACAAGTACAGCCCGCCTGCCTGTCCGTCCATCAGGACCAACCCTGGCCCCTGCAGCATGCTCTGGGGCTGCCCCCGATCTGGATGCCTGCAGCCCCCAGATGGAGGTCTGAGCTGCAGAGGGAACAGGAGACCCCTTCAGAAAAGAAAGGCCAGCTTGTGCCCAGTTCCATCCCACCCCCACCGCGGGCTGGTGGGCTCCATCAGTTCTCAGAACCCTAGGTTAGAAAGGGGGTAGGAGCACGGCACCTGGATAGGGGTGGGTGGAGGAGAGGCCCTCCAGCAGGGGAGGCCTGGGCAGAGGGAGGGCGGTCCTGGCAGAGGGAGCAGCCACGGGGGAGAATGAGTCAGCGACACCCCTGGGCTGTGGGGGAGCGAGGCCTGGGGCCAGGGCCAGAGGTGCCACCAGCACTTCACCCAGGGAGGCGAGGAGGTGGGAGCTGCTGGCTGCCACTGCAGATGTGGAAGGAGAGGCAGAAGAGGCTGCTAGGAGAGACAGGGAGGGGGCTGCCAAAGTTGGGGAGCCAGGCCCTCCCAGATGGAGCTTCCTGCAGCGGTGCCTGGCATCCTATGCCAGTGCTGCATCACCTGCTTCCCTGGAGCAGTGGCTGTGCCCTCAGCAAGCACAACCCATCCCCTGCCCTGGCATCGGCCTGCACAGCAGCTCCGTCCCTGCACTGAGGGTCCCCCTTGCCGCCACCTCCTGCAGGCCTCTCTCGGCACTGAGACAGGCACCCCGCGTCAGTGCCTGAGTGTGCTGTCGGGCCACGGCTCAAACCCAGCTTCCGTGAGAGCAGCCGTGGTGGCTCATGCCACTGAGCGTCACTGGCGCACGGAGCCTTGGATTACGTTCCCACGGCCGGTCTGCTGTAGACGCATCCGTTTACCATGGGGTGGGGGCTGCCTCTGTCGCTCTGCCTGTCAGATAAATGGAGATGTAATTCATACGGCACCGCGCTCACCCCGCTAAGATGCGCTCCGCATGCGGCCGTTCACAATGCCAGGTTCTTGCTGCATTCCATTTCATCACCCCAAAGAAAAAGTCCCTTCCCGTCCCCCTCTGCTGGGCGGTAGGTCAGCCTGTATCTCATAGCAATAGGCTTACCCGAGATGTGCCCTTTGTTCACACTGACGTGTTCTGTGTATTAGTAAGGCTGGTGGATAGTCCGTTGTATGAATGGTCACGTTGTATCTTCACTCATGATGGGTGTCCAGGTTATGCCCGTGCCCATGCCAGCTTGCGTGTGGCCCTAGGTGTTCACCTCTGTTTGGTGTGTACCTGCCAGTGGGGGTGCTGGGTCACGTGCTACTTCCATGACTAACCCTTTTAAAAGGATCATTTCTTTGAAAGGCAGAGTGACAGAAGGGGGTAGGGAAGTCATCCATGTGCTGGCTTCATTCCCCAGATGGCCACAAGAACCGGCTGGGGCCAAAGCCAGGTCTCCTACTTGTGTGCAGGGACCCCCAAGGACTTGGGCTAGCCTCCACTGCTTTCCCAGGTACACCAGAAGGAATCTGGATTGGAAGCGGGACAGCCAGGAATTGAACTGGCACCCACACGGGATGCGGCCATCACAGGATCCACAGCACCTGCTCTGGGGCTCACCTTGCCAGGAAAGGCCTTGCTGGTTCCCCTGAGGCTCTGCTCTCCCCTCCCCTCCCTGACATGGGCTATTATTTTGCCCTACCTGAGAGTGTGTGAAGAGGTTTCTCTCCATGAGAATATTAAAAAGAAAAAGTCATGATGGAACATTCCCGATGTTTTCAAAGGACACAGAACAATGGAGCCCCGTGCCCCCCAGTACCTACCACCTCTAACCCTGCTGTTCTTGCTCCTCTCCCCCGCCCCTGGTCGCTTGCCACTCACTGTAATTGCTATCTGGCCATCCGGCAGGTCAAGTTCACCTGCATTGAAGCCTAACCTCTTAGCAAGCAGGACATCCCACTGCCTCGGGCTCCCACAGGGCCTGTCCCAGCCAACCCCCTGCCCCACCCAGGGCGATAGCTGTGTGTAGCAGGCAGGCTTTGCCCACTCCTGCGCCCCAGCAGGGGCAACATGCTGGGTGTCTCGGGCCACTCAGGTCCAGGTCTTATCAGTGAGATCCGCCCAGAGCTGGCTCCTGGCTGCTTCCTTGACATCCAATAGTCAGAGTACAGCCTGGCAGGCTCACGGCCACGGTTAGGGTGGCCAGACGTCACGGTTGGCCCCTGCTGGGCTTGACCCGACTCAGCCTCCCTGTAGGGCGCGGGCAGGGACTTCCTCAGGGACATGGAGTGACTTTCCTCTCCCACCCATCTCCAAACAGCAGCTGGGGGGTGGGGAGCTCAGCAGGAACAAGGCCAGGGCTGCAGGTGCAGTTGCGCCCTCAGGCGTGGGGCTGCAGTGACTGGCAGAGCCTGGCCTGCTGCAGTGTGGGCAGATGGCCCCAGCCACATGCCAGACGGCGGAGGGACGGCACGTGGTCTGAATGTCCAAAGAGCCCAGAGGAAGGTGGAGGCCCAGGGCCTCTGCGGAGTTCTCTCTCAGAGCCACTGTGCCCGGCCTCGGGGAGTCTTTCAGAACGTCAGCGTAGGAAGGGGCCTCGTGGGGAGACTCTGTGCTGAGCTCCCCTCTGCCTTGGAGTACATAGGGGTGCTTGCTGGAATGCACACGCCTGAGTCCAAGGCCCGGGTTTTGATTTTGTGATGGAGGGGCCCAGGAAATCAGCATTTGTAGCACAGCTTTTGGGACACTCGGGTGGAGCGGGGAGGGTCTGGATTGGCTGTTCTGGGCAGCTGAAGCCTGGAGAGGAGGAGGGACCCCTGTGATCCATGAGGTCACACAGCAAGCTTGTGGCAGCACTGGGCAGGGGGGATCAGGACCCCAAAACTGCTCAAGCCCACTAGGACTCTGGAGCAGGCCCAGACTGCCCCACAGTGGGAAGAAGGTATTGCTGCCCTCACAGAGACCAGGCAGGCTCACGTTGGTGGTAAGGATGGCTGCGGGACAGTGCGGGGCAGCCCCCGCCCCAGCCCACTGCAGTACTGTGCCTTCCTGCGGGCTCCAGTAGCCCCCAGGGTGTGCACAGCTGAGAGCTCTGAGGACAAATGGCTTTGCCGAGTGCCTGCTAGAGCTGGGAGCTGAACCCCGAGCTGCAAGCCCTCCTCCCCCACCGCACCTCCTGCCTCCCCCCCCCAGCACCCCGCAGTACATCAGACGCATGGCAAAGGAGGCGGTTGCCTGATGCTGTAGCTTGTATGTTTCTATTTCTCCAGGGATCAAACATAAAGAACATCGCAAATCAAGATTCCTGTGGCTCAGGCACTGGAAATAATTTCTTTTTTCTACTTGAGAGAGTTCTCATCCAAAGCAAACTGTGGTTGTCAATGTCTTGCTTTTCATACAGGCTGCTGCCTCCCATTGCTCACGCAGCTGCCGAGGGTGTGTGTATGTGTGTGTCTGTGTGTGTGTGTGTGTCAGTGTGGGTGTGTCTATCTGTGTGTATGTGTGTGTCCATGTGTCTGTGTATATATGTGTGTGTGTCTCCAGATATTGATGCCCAGGATCTATGTTAGAACTATCTATGGGACTTCTGGAAAATTCTCCATTGAGGTTCAGACCTCAATGATCTCTGGGGACCTGGGCTGGGCCTGGGCCTGAAGAGTCTTCAAAGCCCCCAGCCAGCTTTAATGTGCAGCCACAGCCTGGAGCCCTGCACCAGCCAGGGGCTTGTCCCTTGTCACTGTGCCCACGAGTCACCTGGGGACCTTGTTGCACTGCAGCCTGGAACTCAGCAGGGAGGGCCAGGCACCCCAGACCCTGTGTGTGCTTTTTTCTTTCTTTCAAAGACTTATTTATTTTTATTGAAAAGGCGATCCGATTTGCAGAGAGAGAGAGACAGAAAGATCTTCCATCCATTGGCTCATCCTCCCAAATGGCTGTAACAGCCAGAGCCAAGCCAATCAGAAGCCAGGAACCAGGAGCTGCTCCTTCTGGGTCTTTCACATGGGTGCAGGGTCCAAGGCTTTGGGGCGTCCTCCTCTGCTTTCCCAGGCCACAAGCAGGGAGCTGGATGGGAAGTGGAGCAGCCAGAACATGAACTAGCTCCTGTATGGGATTTTGGTCCCTGGAGTGGAGGATTTAGCCACTGGGCCATCATGCTGGGCCCATCCCTGTGTTTGTAAAATGCTTCCAGGGCAGGGTGCAGCTACCTTTTGGTTCAAGGACCTCACCCTCGGTGACAAGTGGCTGGTGCAACTACCTGGTAAAGGCCGGGGCAGGTCACCTAAGCCACAGAGCAGCAAGCGCTGCCTGGCTGGAGCCTGCCCTGTGGAAGCAGGTGCCTTGGAGGCATTCTAGTCACTGACTGAGGAACTGTGTGAGAAACCCAGGAGCCCCCTCTTTTCCACTGGCCTCGAAGCACCCCCAGAAATGAGGTCCACTCCTGAAGCTGCCTCTCCGCAGAGCTTAGGACAACTCCTGGCATGAGTCTGTGGGGACATGAATGGGGTAGTGGACAGACACGTTACCAAAGGCTGTGCAGTGGCTGAGACCTAGGGGTGCTGGGACTCTGCCACCTGCTGTACCTGGGAGATCAGGCAATGGGTCCCAGTGCCATGACTCGGCCCCAGTTGCAGGGTTGCTGTGTGGCTCTGGTGACAGCACACAGCTAGTGGGGGGCTAGGGGGACTCAAGAAGCTAGGGAGATGGCCGGCTGCTGTGTGTGAGGCCCCAAGACCTCAGCTTCCCTCAAGATGGTGTTACTCTCTTGGGTAATAGTTGAGCTCTCACTCTGAGGCCTGCCTGGGCTTCGGTCCAGTCACCTGCTCTCAGCGGATAGCAGGTGCATCTGGGCAGTCCTGGCTCATGGGAGGACAGAGGGGAAGACTTCCCCTCCAAGTCCTTGGGAGGACAGAAGGGAAGGCAGGTGGGGCAGCTGCAGCTGACTTGTATAATTTCTGCTTCCAGTCTGTAGGCAAGGACGTGGTCCCTAGGCCAGGCCTAGCTCCAAGGGAAGCTGGGCATGGAACGGGCTGCAGTCTAGCTGACCCTCCATGCACTCAGCCAAGACTTAAGAGCCACATGAAAGAAGGTGCATGACTGTGTCTGCAGCAGGGACCACAGTCCACACACAGTCATTCTGCACTCTTGGGCTCCGATCCCCAGCAGAAGCAGCAGGGAACAGTTGCACTGTACCCGACAGGGGCAGGCATGTTTTGCATTGATATTCCCTAGATAATGCCTGACAGGGGCTTTTGCATTTAATGAAGGATGATGCAGAGGGCTGGGCCAGGGATGGTGCCAGGGCTGGGCCAAGTCAGGAGTAAATGCTATGCTGTTGGATGGATAGAACCTTAACAGTTCCCAGGACCCGGTGCCCGCACGGGGTCCTGGAGCCAGCCCCCCAGCCCCTGCCCGGTTGACAGGATTGCTAGACTTGCCTTGGGGCAGAGTCCCCACCCACCTTCAGTGCCACTCTGCCCTCTGTTTTGCTCTCGCACAGGGGGAATGTTCTCCCAAATGCTACTCCATCTTCGTGGTGGAGACCGTCTGTGTGGCCTGGTTCTCCCTGGAGTTCTGCCTGCGCTTCGTCCAGGCCCGGGACAAGTGCCAGTTCTTCCAGGGACCCCTGAACATCATCGACATGCTGGCCATCTCCCCCTACTACGTGTCGCTGGCCGTGTCGGAGGAGCCGGGGGAGGGCAGTGGCGAGCGGCCCAGCAGCGGCTCCTACCTTGAGAAGGTGGGGCTCGTGCTGCGCGTGCTGCGGGCACTGCGCATCCTCTACGTGATGCGCCTGGCGCGCCACTCGCTGGGGCTGCAGACGCTGGGCCTCACGGTGCGCCGCTGCGCACGCGAATTTGGCCTGCTTCTCCTCTTCCTGGGTGTGGCCGTCACCCTCTTCGCGCCGCTTGTCTACGTGGCCGAGAACGAGTCTGGCCGTGTGCTGGAGTTCACCAGCATCCCCGCCTCCTATTGGTGGGCCATCATCTCCATGACCACGGTGGGCTACGGGGACATGGTGCCGCGCAGCGTGCCGGGCCAGGTGGTCGCGTTGAGCAGCATCCTCAGCGGGATCCTCATCATGGCCTTCCCGGCCACGTCCATCTTCCACACCTTCTCCCACTCCTACCTGGAGCTCAAGCAGGAGCAGGAGCGGCGCCAGGCCCGCCTCCGCCGCCTACACAGCGCCAGTGCAGCCAGCGAGCGCCAGCTGCTGCAGGACACGGACGACCACATCCCCGAGGGCCCAGCCTCGCCCGGCGCCTACATGTGCGAGCACCCTGCGCTAGAATAAGCACCCTTGTTCCCCTGGTGGTGCTTTTCAGCAGCTCCGGGGAATCGTCCAAAAAAACCCACTGACCTCCTGTGTCGCTGGCCCTCAGGTGCCCACCTGCTCTCCTCTGCCCATCTTCCAGGCAGGGCACCTTTCTGGACTGTACCATCCTCTTCCCCTACCCATGAAGTCTCTAATGCCCAGGCATGGTTCCAAACAGCCCCAGAACAGGTTGCCCTGAATACCAGGTGTATGACTGTGGATTCTGTCCCTCCACGAAGAGCCTCTGCCCTGGACCATGTCACTACCAGCCACAGAGGGACCACGCTCTACAAGCCCTTGGCTCAGAGCTCAGATCTCCCTGCAGCCCTTGCACGGCTACCTGGATCCACTTTGCAGACACTGCCACCTCCCCCCCAGCTCTCATTCCTGCTGTAACTCCCACACTGGAACCAAGAGGCTGCAAACTGTCATCCCGCCCTGTGACATGCCACCAGCCTGCCCAGCAAGGTCTCCTTGGCTGACTTAACTCTTGGTGGGAATGATTGTATAGCCCTGACTCTGAGGGCCCTACATGCTCCCGAGACGGTCACCCCTGAAACTGTTGATTTCATCCGAAGAGACCAGGGTTTTCCACCTGCAGCTAAAACTCCAGGACCCAGCCTCAGGGCCACACGTAGCTCCATTCACCTGTCCACCTCTCAGCAGAGGCAGCATCTTGCACCTGGCAACAGCAGTGAAGGCGAAGATGAGCGGAAGAGGAGGAGGTAGATCGGGTGTCTAGTGATAAAGCAGTGTCTCCCAAGACCAAAGAGCAAAGTACTGTGGGCTCTGAGCCACTGGCTCCCAAAACGTCTTCCCAGAGGCATAGTGGGGTTCAGAGGGGAGCGACTCGAGCGTGCACAGCTGCTCTCTGACCTGGAGGTCCCCTGCCAGCAGCCCACGGGAGACAGACAAATGACAGCCAAGCAGGTCGGAGCGACCCGTGATCCAATATCATTTATGAGAGAGCAGTTGGCAGCTGTCCCATCGCAAGGTCGCTGTCCTTGGCACAAACCGCCAGTGTGAGCCAGGCCCAGGCCTTCCCCAGCTGCACATCAGGTGGCAGCGTGGTCCCTGCCAGTGTCCAGCTTCTGGTGGGCAGGGCTCACTTCCTCGAATCCTCCAGGTGCCCTCCCTGCAGACGTGGGCACCGAAAGTCTGCAGGGCACTTGGCAGTCCTTCCCGCCACATATGCCCCTCCGCATACTGGCACACGAGGGAGGTCCCCAACCCTGGCTGTGCCACTGTGCCTCTCAGCTCCAGGAAGTGGCCAGCAGAAGTTGGTAAACATCCAGTGCAGCCCCGTGTCCTGGGGGCACTTTGAACAAAAGCTGTGGATCTTTAGCTTCAGATGATTTTTTTGTAAGAATTTATTTAAGAGGCAATGTCATAGATTGAGACAGGAGGGCACTCTTTCACGTGCAGGGTCCATCCCTGAGTGCCCACAGCAGGTAGGCCATCCAGGTCTCACACATGGAGGCAGGAGCCCACACACGTGAGCCTCTGCCTGCCGCTGCCCAGGAGCACGAGCAGGAAGCTGGATTGGGAGGCCTGAGTAGCTGGGACTCGAGTGTCCCAAGCAGAGACCTCACTTGCTATGCCACATGCCCACTCTAGAACTCATCTTTTTTTAATGACTACTCTTAGACAAAAAATCACCACTGACAGTCTTTTGGTGACTTTTAGAATGACAGCAGGTATCAGCTGGAAGTCCCATCAACAGAGGACTTGGTGGGGCCAGTGCACATTTCAAAGCATCCAGTGGCTCCATCAGACCCAGCAGGGAGGTCCCAAGGCTTCTGGAAGGGAAACGCCTTGCGAAGTGTCCAGACCCCCTCCCCAAAGGATGGGACCCTGGGAAGCGGCCCAGCTGGCTCCTCGGGGTAGGGACACCACCTTCTGGGTTCTGTTTGCCCAGGAACCAGGAGAGGTCTCCCTTGTACCACCCAGCCCAGCTCTGCATGCCCGACTGCAGTACCCACTGTCCGCTCCGGTTTTGTCCATTGCCCTGCCAATGCCCTCTACAACCTCTTCCCCAGCGTCAGGGCCTATCTGGACTTCACTTCTTGCATTCACTCGTCCCTCCCTTTAGCTTCCAGTGCCCTCACCACAGCTTCTCTGAGGCTCGGATGACCTTGAAGTCTGGGTGACTGCAGCACCCTCCCCCACTTTGTGTTTGAGATCTGTGCTCACACGAGGCTGCGCCCTTGCACACCACGTGCGAGCTGCCGGCAGCCCAGTCCATCCTGCACACGAGCCGGTTCCTGAGGCTCGGAGGTCATTTCTCTCTACTGATGACAAAGAGGTGATCTTCCCCAACCCTACCCAGCTCACACCAAGCTCCCCATTTCTCAGGCACGGACATGAAGGCCTGGGAGGCAGCAAGCCTGGAGTCAGAAGCCCAAGCTCTGGACGCTCAGCCCAGTGCTCCCGCTGAGCTAGAAGGCAGCACCCTGTCCTGCTGCGCCCGTATGCAGCCTTGCCATCCAGCCCTGAGTGCAGCATCCTGGAAAGGGAGACAAAGGAGGTGGCCTTCTCGGCGGCAGGCCTGGCCCAGCCTGCCGCTGCTGCAGCTCCTGCAGTCAGCACGCAGAGCCGGGGGGTCAGGTGCTTGGCTGTGTGTGCCTTTCGTAACTCACCTTCGCAGTAGGGTGAACACTGAACTCCGTGTGACATGCAACTCGGGAACAAATCTGGGCACCTTGGCCTATTATTAGCCCATCCTGCCACTTCCAAAAGCTTCTACCGCACTTGGCCGATGACCAACCTGGATGCCCCACTCCACCCCTACTCCATATGCTCAGCTCAGCGGTTTCACCTCACCTCTTCCTAACCTTCTCCCCAACCTCCCTGGGCAGCCCCCAGAGAAGCATTAAACAACACCAAAAGCTGTTGCTGTGGCTTCCCTGGGGTCCTGGGGCATGGCTAGTCCTGAGGCTGGGATGTGGGAGGCGGTGGAGAGGTGGAGGGGTGGTGACAGGATGGGGAGCACCTGGGTGGGCCATGGCTGGTTTATGGGGCAGTGTTTCCTGCGGGCAAAGCCTGGCAGAGACCCAGGTGGCAGGTGGAGAGGTGAGAAAGCAAGTGTGAAAGGAGTTGAGAAAGCAGTAAGGTGAGCTGGGCTTGCAGGAAGTCCTGGCTGGGGGAGAGAGAAGGGACCGGAGTGGTGGAGCTGAGGCGGTACTAATGCGCGTGCGTGCGTGCAGCCAGGGACTGCAAGAATCAGGGTCGGCTCCCCTGAGGCACACTTGGGCCCCGTGCCCCACCAGGCCTCTGGGTTTCTCCAGAAGTCCCTGCCAGGACTGCAGATGCAAAGAGGGTCCCACGCATAGCTCAAAGGGCGGGGAAAAGCAAATGGGGTTGCCTTTGAGGTACACTGAGGCTGCGCAGCCCTGACAGTGCTTCCACAAGGGGGATTTTCCAAAGCAGTTCATTGGCCAGGCGCATTTGATGGGTGGGTTTGTGGGCCTCAGCCAGCTGATGGGTTCTGCCCAATCCTGCCTGTGTTGCACCTCCCACAGGTGCAAGTGCAGCCCTCTCACCATTCCTCTCGCTTCAGAAAACCTTGGCCTTCGAGACTTCCTGTTCTTTCACGGATACCAACAAGCACCAGTGGAAGAGGTGGGTGGGGAGGTGTGTTGCCCAAGCGGGCAGCTGGAGCTCAGGCCCCCTGGGAGATGGCGTAGACCAGGGAGAGGCCAGGGGTTTGCTGCACAAAAGCAAGCCTCATTCTCATAGCAGACTTGCCCGTCAGTGGCCTAAATACCTTCTAGAATACACTTGGACAATGACTTGTGACTTCCAAGGACAGGAAACTGATTGCATTAGACTTCATGAAACAAATAGAGGAGCCAATAAGATAAGAGTCACTGATTTCTATAACTGAAAATCCACATGGAGTTCAGACACGATTTAATCTAGTGGATCTGTCAACATGAAAACAAACAAGCTCGGATGCAATGCACCTTCCCGCTTCCTCCCTAGGAGGGTGGCTTGGCTCCAAGCACTTCTGGCCTCCTGCTCCCCAGCCCAGTGCCCAAGCAGCCAGGCGCCAGGCTGCAGGCAGGTGCCTGGGACAGACCTATAGAGACCCCACTCAGCCTGCTGGTTCACCCAGTAACCCCCCAGAAGAAGGGGAAGAAGCACAGGGCCTGCGACCAGGCAGGGCACAGGCCCCCTCCCATGCTGGAGCAAACAGGACCCAGCAGGATCACAGGCTGGGCAACCTGGCTGAGGGCTTTCCCCTCAACAAAGGTCACTCAGCCCGGGGGCACCAAGACAGGCTCTGCCTACACCTCCAAACACCATGTCACCTGCTGGTTCTGGGCCCTGGGGAGGAGGGCTGGGAAGGGGGGATCTGCAACCACCACAGGAAGCAGCACACCCCAGCCGGGGCACACCCTCCCACCTCCTCTAGCCCCTCCAGTGTGGGCAGCAGTATGGACAGTCTCTCCTCCCCGAAGCATTCCCACTTTTGTGGGCAGGAGCTAGGGCATAAACTCAGCAATGGGGGTGCAGGAAGATGTATGAATCCCAGGATGGGCTGGCAGCTGGATGCCCATACAAACAGCACGTGGAGCCCAACAACAGCATCTTTATTCAAGCCCAGGTGCTACCGCCTCCTCAGCCATATGGACCCCTTCTACCTGCCCCTGCCCCCCTCCCCGTGCCTCCCCCCGCCCGGCCCCCAGCACCACGGTGCCCTCCTCCAGCAAGGCGCTGTCCCACGGGGTCTCAGTCCAGACATCTGTCTCAGTTCCTGAATTTGCCCATGAGCGGTTTCGAGGGCCAGGCCCCCAGGCCCTGCTGGTCCAGGAGGGCAGAGAGCTGCTGGCGAGCCTCCTGGTAGGGCCCAGCCTAGGGCAGGAGACAGAGGGGCCATGAGAGAGGTGGGAGGGTACGGGGACAGAGGAAGGGACCGAGAGGGCAAGAACTGACCTTGGCTGCCTCATAGGTCTTCAGGGCCAGCAGGTGGCTCTTGCGCAGCGCACGGGCGGCCTGGCGGAAGGCCCGGAGAAAGGCTGCCTTGCAGAGGCGGGATGGAGGCCCGAGGCTGCCACTGAGCAGGGAGAAGGTGGTAGGAGCTAAGAGGAGGGGAGAGAAGAGCAGAGGCCCACCCCAGGACATCCCGTGATAACCAGCACTCGCTTACTCGGCCTTCACACGCCCCGTGGTGACATCCACCACCTCCACGTCAGGGTCCCCCAGGCTCCAATTGAGGCTCAGGTTGTGGCAGGTGTTGGAGACGGGGTTGGCAGGGGCCACAGAGGGCCCTGAAAACAGGTGCAGGGTGTTGCGGCCATAGGGTGGCGGCAGGCATGGCCCGAGGGTGCTGTCCAGGCTGGGCCGTGTATGCACGGCTCTGTTCACAGTGGGCAGGTGGTGGCAGGGGTCCGCTGAGGGCAGGGGGGCAAGGGGCCAGGTTTGAGCCATAGCTATTATGGGTGCTTCCCACACTGCACCCACAGCGTCCCGGCTGCCCCATCCCCTCACCCAAGACGAGGCTGGTGGCATAGAACGGCGGCAGGAAGTGGCTCAGCAGCGCACCACCCAGCCCCAGCACAGCCCAGCGTGCCAACTTGTCACTGGCCGACAGGCACCCCATGTGGGTGTCACGGAGTGAGGGGGCCAGGTAGCCCACAGGCTTTAGCTGCCCGTGCACATGGGCCTGCAGGCAGAAGGCGGGGCTGTGCAGGAGGCCTGCTTCCAAGGTCAGCGGGAGGCTGCAGGGGGAAGGGCACAGGGACCAAGCGTCAGCGGCCTTCCTCGGCAGCCCCTACCCTGCCGTCAGTCCCAGGCATCCCACCCAAGGGGAACCGCACGCACTAGACGTCGTGGGCTGCTCCTTTGGGCGTGTTGCTGACATAGAGATGCAGGAAGATCCGGGGCTTGAGGGCAAAGGGGGGCCCAGGGCCCAACTGAGGGGCTAGCACGGAGCGCTCCTGGCCCTTGGGGCCTCCCAGCGTGGCCAGTAGGAGTTGTCGGAAGAGGAACCTGCAAGCATGGGGCAGGCAGACAGCTGTGACGGCATCCTGGCTGGGCCGGGCTGGGCCAAGTGCTGGCCCTGCCTGCTCCTCACCTCAGCAGGGCCCTGCGGGCCACAACCAGGCCGTGGCAATCATGTAGCTGGCGGCCTGAGAACTCCAGCCGGCCGCCACAGCTGCTGCTGCCCGTGCCCAGCGCCACCAGCTGGTAGATCTCCTTGGCATAGCCCTTGGCATCTGGGATCTCTGCAGAGACAACGAACAGGGCTCGACCGTCCACTGGAGGTGCCTGAGGAGGTCCTTCCAAAGAGGGGGGACATGGCTGGGCACCCCTACCCCTTTCCAAGATGACTGCGGCCACGGTCCCCTTGCAGGCCCGGTACGGCGAGTTTTCGTCCAGCAGGCGGTCAAAGCCGGCACTGACGGCAGCTGCACAGCGCTGTTCGTGCGTCAGGATGTGCTCTGCGCAGGGGGACGAGGCGGTGGTGTGAACCCACGGCCAACCCCCACATCCCTGACATGGCCCCCGGCCAGCCCCGGCCACCCACCTACGCTCACAGAAGTGAAGGCAGGCCTGCTGGGAGTCTGCACGGGATCTAGAAGAGATGAGACTCTCCTGCTGCCCCGGGCAAGGGGGGCAGCTGGGGCCACCCGCCCAGACTTCGAGTAGAAAGGGAGGAGAGGAGGCCCAGTTTTCACCTTGTGGACACGGAGAGCTGCTCAGCTTGCCCCCAGAGTGGGTGAAGGCTCAAAGGACTTCGCATCGAGTGGGCACCCGGCCCCCTGCCCGGCCCCCTGCAGGTCAGCTCCTGGCGCCCAGACAGTCCTTGCACAACACACACTGTGCTTGCAGGTACACATGCCCACCCCGGAAGTAGGACAGCAGTCACTCCCCCCAGCCCCCTGCACCCCCTGCGTCCCCCTGGGCCGCTCTGACCTGGGCTCTCCAGCTGACTCCGGATGTAGCGGAGGGCGGACAGCGCCGCCTGCTGCTTGGCCTCCAGCTTGTCGCTGGCAGTGCCCGCCGGGCACATCACGCCATCCAGCTCCACTTGTGCCGAGAAAGGGAAGCACGCACCTGCGGGAGGGGGGCAGGGCGCAGGCCTCAGCCTGGCAAGAGGGGCATCAAGCGGCCCCCAGCCCTTGCCAGGGCCGCCCACCAACGCCAGCACCACGGGGGGAAGGGGCGCAGTGTGCTGGGGGCACAGCGGCACAAGGTGCCTGCCGGGGCGGGGTATTACACAAAGGCAAGCAGGGACAGTCAGCTGCCCTCAGCAGGCCCCGGGCCAACCTGTGCTGGCTTGCGGGACAGGCCTGGGTCACATGGTTCCTAGCAGGACCAACTTTTTTTTTTTAAGATTTATTTATTTTTATTACAAAGTCAGATATACAGAGAGGAGAAGACACATAGAGAAAGAGCTTCTGTCCATTAATTCACTCCCCAAGTGAGCGCAACGGCCGGTGCTGTGCTGATCAGAAGCCAGGAGCCAGGAGCTTCCTCCAGGTCTCCCACACGGGTGCAGGGTCCCAAGGCCTTGGGCTGTCCTCGACTGTTTTCCCAGGCCACAAGCAGGGAGCTGGATGGAAGTGGAGCTGCCGGGATTAGAACTGGCACCCATATGGGATCCCGGCATTCGAGGTGAGGACTTCAGCTGCTAGGCCACTGTGCCAGGCCCAGGATCAACTTTTTGCACGAGGACAATGCTACTACAAGGAGCCCTTGGTCTTTAGACCCGCCAGACACAGGCAGGTCGATCAACTGCTTCTGACCGCGGCTGGGCAACTGGGTGTGTGTGCCAGGCAGAAGGCCCGGAAGGCCACAAGAACACGACTGCTGCGTCCAGCTCACCATTAATACAAGTGGCTGACGGTGGTATCACAGTACCTGGGTAGGATTTCCTGTGTGAGGGTCTTCCGTTCTTAAACAGGCACTGCAGTGTCAGACCCCAAAGGACCCTTGGCCTCGGGACAGTGGATACAATATTGCTTTTACCAAGTGGGGGAGTAGCCTCACCAAGGGTTCCCATGGCAACCATAACTGTCTGCAATGGACCCTTTAAAAAACAGTTTAGATTGGAAGGCAGAAGCGGGATGCGGGTCTCCTCACCTGCCAGTGACTCAGCCACAGGAGCAGGTGTGGCCTGTGGAGCTGCGGCAGCCCCACCCAGCTCGTGGTTCCTCTGGCCTGCACCTGGGGCTGTCCCACCAAACCTCTCCCCCACAACCGTGTGTTCTGGGCGGGCAGCGCAGCGCTCCCGACTCACCTGCCCTGTGGTCCTCTCTGAAGACAAGCGAGATGCCCAGGCCTGCCGCATACTGGGCCAGCAAGGACACGGCCTGGCTAGGGGCTGGGTCTTTGAGTGGCAGGCTCATCCGTCTGGAGGCCCCTTGGAAATCTCCAGCGGGCCCTGCCGGGGGACCCGAGCCCCTCGGAGCCTTCCCCATCTGTCCCTCTACATCTTCCGCAGCCCGGGCTGTCCCTACTTCCCCAACTCCGGCCCCTTCCCCGGGGCCACCGTCCACCACCACCGAGACCAGGGCCTGCTCGGAGCCCTCCAGGTCTTCGTCCACGCTGGGAGTAGACGGGCGCTCCCAGGTGTTCCGGTTCAGGCTGGCCGAGGGGCGCCAGGGTTTGGGCCCCGGGTTGATCTGCAACGAGGCGGCCAGGCGGGGCTTCCTGCGGGCACCATCATCGGAGGCCTGGGCTGAGCTGGCCAGCGAATCCATGGCTGCTCTGGAAGATTCCACGATGCGCCCGCGTCCGTTCTGGCCTCACCCTTTTGCACGTGCCCTTGGACGTCCCACGTGGGCAGCACGCGAACCTCCCGCTGCGAGCTCCACCTGCCAGCCTCGCCGCTGGCCAATGAGGCCGCAGAGCTGGGAGGTAGGGGGCTGGAGGCAGGCGGAGCGCAGGCGACTGGTCCGCTCGGGAGGGAAGGCCAGATGCCCAGCTGGGCAGTGGGCGGGAGGCACTGCCCGGCCCCGCCCCGAGTGAAGCTTGGAAGGCTAAGCTGGGAGGACGGCTCGCTCCCACCAGCCTTGTCTCTAACTTGGGGTGATCCTGGGGGGTCCCAACACCTTGCCACGGGGTTTGGGGCTTTGAGTGCAGCTCAGACTCCAAAAAACACACAGCCCATCAGAGCCCTTAGCCTCAGCCTGGGTCCCGTGTCTGATCAACACCCCTGGGTCAGGCAGAATCCACGTTTTATGTATTTTTTAAGATTTTTTTTTTTAATCGGAAAGTCAGAATTACAGAGAGGACAAAGTTGCACCATCTGCTGGTTCACTCCCCAAATGGCCACAACAGCCAGAGCTGGGCCCATCCGAAGCCAGGAGCCTGGAGCTTTTTCTGGCTCTGCCACATGGGTGCAGGCTCCCAAGGCTTTGGGCCGTCCTCCACTGCTTTCCCAGGCCACAGGCAGGGAGCTGGATGGGAAGTGGGGCAGCTGGGACACAACCAGCTCCCATATCAGTTCTTGGCATTTGGAGGTGAAGGATTAGCTACTTGAACTAATCCCAGAATTTGCATTCTAAAACCTTACTGGCCAAAGGTTACCTGTTCCCCTTGTTCCTCTGTACTCTCCCGCGCCCCAAAAAGGATTTTGTATTAAATCATAACAATACCAGAAAACCACAGATATTAAAGGCGAATGTCTAGCGCCCAGAGATCGGGAAGGGCGTGGCCGTCTCCCCTGGGGTCTCTGGGTGGGAGCACAGCCTGCTGACCCACCTTGAACTTCTGACCTCCATAGCTGCCCCAGTGTTCATTGGTTACAGTCGCCACACAAAGCCAAAGTTAGTGCCATCCGTATTTTTGCAGAGGTAACTCTTAAAATGCTTTTTAAACAGACTATATGGCCCTGATTATTAATCACACATTTAAATAAGCACAGCAGTGACTTCAGATTTATGGTGCGTTAGTCATCCTCCTAAATGTAGTCTCCTCAATCCCCAGGAGAGGATGCCTGAGGTCACCTGCCAAGGCAAGTGCATTCCTGACGATGGACCGGCCGAAGCCATCAACGAAATCAGCCCTCCTTCCTCTGGGGGACCGCCTGATTTCATTTCTTTCATTCACGTAAAGGCGTTGATGTGTTCCCAGAATGGCCATCATTTCATCTCCTCTTTCATTGATGCAATATTTATCAAGCATCTACCCTGCCAGCATCTTGTGCGGCAGCAGGGGCCTGGTCCTAGTGGGCGGCTTTTGAGTGGTTTCCGAGGCTAGGAAAGCCCTCAGCGGGACACCCAGGTGAGGTGAGGCAGCCCAGCGGGCGGTGCGGAAGTGTCAGAGTCTGCACCTATGACAGTAGGAGACCAGTCCCTTCCTGTCTGGTCTCCAGACCTAGGGCTTAAGCTTCCAATCTCCCACCCGCCCCCTGCCCCCAGTGCTGGGGCAGCCCTGAAAGAAACGCGAACTGTTGGCAGATGCCTACAAGGCTTTCAAGCGTTTGCGGGACGCAGAACTAAGACACTGTCCAAGCGCTTCTTGAGGGAACCTGCAAATGGTCATTTAAAGCACACTCAGAATCCACGTCATCAGTGTGATGGCGTGGGGATCTGTCAGCAGGAAGGCAGGCTGTGAGTCCATGCACTCTGCAGCCCAGTGAGCCAGCAAGCCCGCCAAGGGCTTGATCCCCATGCAGCTCAAGGCCTGGGCCAACAGCGGGATGAGATCTGTGGTTGGACAGTGATTCTGAAAGCACCACCCCGGGGGCAAGCAGGGTCCTGGGCACCTGCAGCCTGGAAGGGCCAGTGAGCTGACCCAGCCACGACTTCCACCTGCTTCACCGCAGGGGGTGTGGGAACCGCTGCCTGGAGCTGCCTGCCCTGTTAGGTCGTTAAGGCACTTAAAGTTCTTACCCTTCTCATGCTGTTACACGCAGCTAATTCCCGCAGCCAAGTCCTCTGTTCACGATGTTTACCGCAAGCCCAAGTCCAGATGCAGCAGGGTGCTTAGTAGGTCCTTTATTCCAGCAGGGTAGGAACAGGAGCAGGGGTGTAGGGGGTGGAAATCTGGAAGGCACACACCTCCTGCCATGGTGGCAGGATGGGGGCTGCCAGGCATGGGAAGGGCCCAGATGGAGGAGAACGGGGAAGAGCCAGGTGAGCAGGCTCCCTCCTAAAGGCCTGGGAAAGCAACAGGATGGGACGCTGCCAACCACGTCCGAGACTTGACAGAAGCTCCTTGTCTCCTGGATTCGGTCTGACTCAGCCCGGGTCATGGCAGCTACTTGATGAGTGACCCAGCTGATCTTTCTTTGTGACTCTAAGTGGATGAAACAGGTGGGATTCGAATCGCGCCTGCTGGCCAGCGTGCAGTAAGCATGCACTTCCCGCCAGCACCGCCTCCGTGCTCGTCTGCCCTCCGCCCAGGAGGGGGCGCTGCAGGACCCGGGGAGGTGGCCCTCCAGGCGCCGAGGAGGCGGGACGGGGAGGCGGGACTTCCTGCCGTGGAAGGCGCGCTTCCGCCCAGACCCGGAAGACCGGCGCTTGGCGTTGTGTGGTGGGTCCCGGCGTGCGCGCGGTTAGTGGGGTGACCGCTGCGGGTGCCCCCCGGCACGAAGACTCGGCGAGCATTACGCGGGCATCCGAGCCACGTAGGTGAGCGCTCCGTCCGTGCAAGGGGGCGGGCGTGGGGGTGCCGGGCTCCGCCCGCTGCGTCCTCTCCATCGCGCGCCTCGCTCCTGCGGACGATGCTGTGGGCCTGTCCCGGTGCTGGACTGCCCCGAGGGCCGGGCCTGGGGCGGCGGACCTGAAAGTTCCTTGCGCCCGGCCGTGGGTGAGGATCTGGTCGCCCCAGGCTGCCGCACGTGCTCTGGCGGAGGGACCGCACCCCCTTTGGAGCGCGCAGAATTGGGGGGGGGGGCAGCCAGAGAGAGGACTCAGGGGCTCGGTTGGAGAGAGCAAGTGGGGAGGTCTTGTGATGAGGCGATCCTAAAGGTGCAGGGGGCACGGGTGGGGTGCTGTGTGTGTGGCGCTACCGTCAGAGATGCAGCCCCCTCCTCCCCGCTCCCCCGAGGGCCTGGGGGCTGAGACTGCAGTGGACAGCAGACCGGCCTACAAAGCAGGGTCTCACCAGGATCTCCCCCCGTTGCTGCCAGCGGAGGCGGCTGGCTGCAGCTGCAGCAGTGGGTACCGGAGGTGGGCAGCTGGTCCAGCGCCTATGGGGGGCACACGGTCCCGGGAGAGCTGAGGGCAAGAGGGATGCGCGGTTGGGGTGTGGCGGGCAGTAAGGCGTGATGCTGGGGGTGCGCGGATCGGGAGGCGGCTGCCCCGTCACCTGGCCTGGACTGGCCCACTGGTGCTTGCTCGGGCTGCAGCTGACCGTCAGGTGGACCCAGGCAACTGGCCACAGACAGGGGAAGCAGCAGGCCCACATTTGGTGGGTGCTGGCCCTTGGTGAGTGAGTGATGTTATTGTTTGGGGTGATGCTGTTTTGTTAACATTTTTTTTTTTAAGATTTTATTTTAATTGGAAAGGCAGATATACAGAGAGGAGGAGAGACAGAGAGGAAGAGCTTCCATCTGATGGTTCACTCCTCAAGTAGCCGCAACGGCTGGAGCTAAGCCAATCCAAAGCCAAGAGCCAGGAGCTTCTTCCAGGTCTCCTATGCTGGTGCAGGGTCCCAAGGCTTTGGGCCGTCCTCCACTGCTTTCCCAGGCCACAAGCAGGAAGCTGGATGGCAAGCAGGGCTGCTGGGATTAAAACAGTGCTCATATGGGATCTGGCTCATTTAAGGCGAGGACTTTAACCACTATGCTATCGCGCTGGGCCCTGTTTTTAACTTAAAAAGGGGTGGTGGTAGTGCTGCTGCTGTGCTGTGTAGCTGCTCATACTCAGAGGAGCTTGGGTTTCACCAATGCCCTCTGCCATGAGTGTATTTGATCAATGCGTAGTACGTTTCCTGGGCGGCAGTGGGTCTGACTCGGAGGTTGGGGAGCAGGTGATAGGGACTTGTTTCTGATCTCGAGGCAGAGGAATGGGCAGACATAAGCCCATGAGGCCAAGAGCTCCCAGGAGCTGACCACCTACCCGTGGCTGCCCCTGGACTTGTCACGTGCTGGCCCTTCCCCTCGGAGCCCCTTGGCGGTGGTGTGTCCTCCCCTCCCCACAGGCTCAGGTGTGCCCAGACAGCTTATGGGGGGGTGGTGCTTAGTGCCCCGAGTCTTGCACTTGGCATTGGCTCTCTGACGGTGCCTGACTCTCCGGGAAGCCACAGACCTCCCTGGGAGCCTGCCCACAGGCCGGTGGTGGGCCAGAGTCTGTTGGGAATGCCAGTGTGATGTTTTCTAGGCTCCCGTGGGCCAGCATGGACTTCCCCGACTGCCTCCGCCCCTCATTGTTCATGAGCGGCCCCCTGGGCCTGAGCGACACCCCTGACCTGTCCTTCATGTGCAGCTGGAGAGATGCGCTCACCCTGCCCGCGCCCCAGCCGCCCAAGGTGAGGAGGTGGCAGGAGAGACCCCTGCTGCGGCCTTGGTCTCCTGAGCTGCCTGGCCTGGCAGGGGCACACAAGGGGATCAAGGGTCCGATGGAGCTGGGTTAGGGCAGTGTGGCCTGGGAGTGCCAGGGCTCCCATCAGACAGGCTCCATGGAGCCTCAGGACTCGCCCTGGGTGTCTCAGGATAGGTGACTGTGGGGTCTCCTGAGAGGAAGGGAGAAGGGCAGTGCGCACTGGCGCGTGGGGGCCTGTGGGGGTGGTGGGCACAGGCGGCCCGGCTCAC